TATATAGTTTTTTTCTGCCTCAAGTGTTTGAATACTGGCGGTACGTTGAACTAATTTTCTTTTTACTATGCATTAGCCGCCTGTATTGGAACTATAATACGCCGATGTTTGTCACTTTTACTATTTCGTACTTAAGGTAGCAAGTTAAGGAATCCATCCATTCAACTGGAGGAGATTGCAAGGACATAATGTGCAGTTCTGTTAGGCGTGTGTAGCTCGCGGGTACTCAGATTGCTTTGCTAAACCTATAAGTGTTGTATGTAAACCTAGATGCACGCGGTGTCTTATGTTATAATAATCGCCTCGTATCGTTATGTGACTTAAGTAAGATGCATGGTTACCCTTTTTTGGTCACCTCTCCATCAGCAGCATCAAAGCGGACGTTAGGTAGTTATGATGATCAATATATTCGGAAAGTAACTGTTCATCATCTATAGCGACATAACCGTTAGCTTTATATCGTCTTAGAACTATTGTCCTAGGGGTACTGCCCTATGTAACGCCAAATGTGTCACCAATATGCCAAACTGTCAATTTCATATTGTAGTTATTTCTGGTCCTTAACGTAGCATACATCCAGTTTATATCTCATAGGTTTAAGGCAAAATATAAATGCACACTGGACGATAAGTTCTGAATTCTTCTAGGCGATTTTCTGTCCTGTCTCCTAAATCAAAGGTATTATTCTGATTTTTTTAATAGTCGCTCAATATTCGGTCAGGCAAACGAGTACAGAAAGCCTAAAAATATAAATAAAAATTGATACACTCCCTCTATATATAAAAAAAAAAAAAGCAAAAGGGACATCGATTGTCAAATTTGCTTAAGAATTAGATTTTATCCGACCGAAGTTCTAGTAACTAGCATTTCTTTCAGTGCTAACTCAGCGTAACACTTCATTGCAGCCTGAATCTGATGCCGTTCTCTATTTCACCGATAAAATGATTTAATGTTCTACAAAATGAGGATTCGTTACTCGGTGCGGTGTTCGCTAGCGATAGTAATGTTGGAAGCGGCACCCGCAGTGAATTATGGACTTTTTTTTTGGCTTCATGGCATTGGTATGTCCAGTGGTAACACAATGCGCGTTCGCCTGGACGGCCAACAGCTTCCTTCCGGAGCGTCTTTACATACTAATGCTGCTGGCAGCCGCTAGGTCACCACACGGTTCGCCACTGCTGATTTTCGTCTCTGGAAATTGTATAGTTCAGCTTATGTTAGAGTAGTATCTGAGAAGTGACCACACCCGTAAGTAGCTTTATTCAGTTCTTCCAACGTACGTGAAAACATTAGTAAGGATTAGGTTTTCGTTAGGCCTTAAAGAATACCAGCTCGTATCATCTACCCTGTTGGTGGTCTAAAGTTTTGCCAAAACTTTCGTTGCCGAGCTGGCCGTATTTGCTGATATAGTTAAATTTATCCAGCAATATATGATACGGTTATATGAATATGAAGGAGTATAACCATATTAAACTGAACAAGATATAAGGTGAGTGCATGACAAAGCGGAGCATGAATTCAGTACGAAACCTTTAATTTGACTAGGTTTCATGTTTTGAAAATTCTAGTTGCGTATAAAAGTTCTCAAATATAGAAAATAAATGTTACCTGACAGCTGGGAATGCACCTATATATATATTGGTAGGGCCGTTTGCAGAGATAAACATTTAAAGCGATCCCCTAACTGATATACGTATAGCTAGCTTTTAACTTCTGTAAGAAAATTGTGTAATTGTTACAGTGAAGGAAATTTCGCTAGTAATTGGTTTATAGTATGAGTAGCACCGCGTTTGTTCGGAGGTCTTGGTAGTAAATAGTGTTAAGCAAAAATATTTGAATAAAAGGAGATTTATTTCGTATCGCGTGCAATACAGGCTTGAATAGTTTTTAGGCAAGAGATAATGCTACTGTTCGTAGCGGTCGCTTCCTATCTACACTTCGTCACAAAGCTTGCAGAGTACTTTTCGAAATATTGATTACTTACTCTTAATTAACAGCCTATTGAAAAATCAACTCTATTTTGAACAAACGATTTTCAGGTTAGTCGAGTATTGCGTATCTACATTTGTCCAGACGTGCTAAATCGTGTGTATTTATAAGGCTATTAAAGTGCCCATTAGCGGTGGACGCACTCCATACTTAGAAATTCTTCGACATACGCACTGTTTCTTAGAAAATTCCCTAGTGCGTCTCCCTCCCCGTTGACGGCATTAGATATATATATACACATATATATATATATATATATATTTTTTTTTTTTCAGCTCTATATTTAAAAGCCAAATTGTTTTTCAACACAAATTGCTATCCAAATTGAGAGTTTATCTTCTAAGAGCTGGTGGTTTCCAGTGAATAAAGCGTTTTGGCCAATAGGACCACAAAACAAAAATATTTTGCCGCTATAAATCGAAATCTGAAATAATAGACAAATATTATTTGAGTAAATAGCTTATTTAGTAAGAAAAGTAACTGTTTCAATTGAAAAGGTAAGGGTCATCTTGAATTCAGTTTTGAGTTCAGTTGGTAGAAGCGGTATAACTATTAGTTATTGGTCAAGTGATGAAATATTTTTTTTTATAATGTTTTATTTTATCATGCCTTTTTTTTCGTGATTTTTATGATGTTGCTTACATTTAATCTGGAGACCTAAAGCTCTGCTTGGTCGTTTGCACTGCCCAAACGCCAATGGGCCTATCGAAATGCTACTTAAATAAGCTTTAGCTTTGGGCAGCAATATTTTTTATTCGGTCAAATATCTGAACGGGATTTGGAGAGAAATTGCTCTCTTATTATTATAACCATTTCAGGCTATTTATTCGTAGGCATCATAAAGAATGCCCAAACTAGCGACCGCCAACGGTAGCATACGCTTAGGATTGACAAGAAAAAAAGTGATACATCTATTTTCTAGGCCAGGTGCTTATTTTTCTCGTAAATTTTGACCTTTGACGGCAAAATAAATGTCGGTGCCGAAAAGTATTGTTGCTGACTAAGCTTTACCGCCTTCTCAAAGCAAATGGCCACCCACAAAACTTGTTTATGTTTTCTCGCGCCAAATATAATTCTAATTGGATAGCAGCATATACAGATGTTTCACAGTTCCCACTTGTGCCAAATGCTTAGCACAGATTAACAGGCAGCCTCGTATTTGTCCAAGAATAAGGAATCAATTTGATTAGGCTAGAAAAAGTTGGTTATATCGGCTTTACAGGCCATAGTTGAAATCTAGATTAATCATATGACAATATTATAGTGCTTCCTACGTTGATGCTTACGCAGAGACCCTTCTCGTGAAGGTCCGAATATCGTTTTTGGCTTTCCTTAGGGATTTTGGTAACCTTTCAAGTATACAATTAAGATCGCTGTATTCACCAAACTGACCTCTGTCAAAATACGCACTAACACATAGCGAAAATAGCCAGCTTCATATAATAATCTATCCACCTTCCATCCAGTCCAATAGTCTGTAAAATGTATCGTTCTCACATTGAAATAATATCAATAACACGGGACTATATTACGGACTTATGGTTCACCGGTATTTGAAGTAATGCGCGAAGGCGCCTAATTCTAATTTGTTGAAGTACTATCATTAATTAGGCATGACCTCGATTGCCCTTGTTTATGTTGAACTCGATCGTACTGAACACTTTGCTATAGAATTACGTGCATAAAGGAAGCTACCTTATTTGCTCATGTAAAAAGAAAAATTAGATTGCTAAATGATACATATACATCACGAGTTTTCGTATTTAGTCAGGAAAGACTGCTGTGAAGAACTGTTTACTTTTGAACGAAGTAAATTTTCATAAACGAACCCTGACTATACGCACCGAACGATTTCGAAGCAGCTGTTGCAGACATATCTGGTTGCTTCATGGACGCACATAAGGTGATTCGATAAGCGATGTCTCTCCGGCGGCAACGATAGGCCACGCGGTACATCCTAAGAATTTTCTCAGAAAACGAGTATCGACGATGGGATAGTAAGAATTGAAGCCAACTAGAGAAGCTCGCGAGAAGGGATCAGGGCAAAAATGACGCTAAAATAGCGGGTTTTGTACCCCTCCTATCTCACCAGGAGCCGCTTTCACTCCTTATTCCGACTGTATGACGTAGAGCAGAAATAAGAACAAAGATTATCTGAAACGACATGTTTTGATAAAAGCAGAGCAAAACAAGATCAACGGAAAACGCCCACCCCTTTGGAGAAGGTTGTTTTTGAGGAAGCTAATGCTGCACGGAAAGCGATCACTCGAAAAAAACTGTAGAAGCAGATGCCGTTGTGATAGAGGCGGCGTACGATACGCGCACATTCTCTAACGATAGCTGATTATGATCTTCTACAATTATTTGCTCGGCGGCGACGAAGGGTTGTCACAGACTCAGTATCGGTCCTCCATAGCGGTGACGATATGAGTAGCTTCTGATTAGCTGGTTGGTCATCCTCCTCTGGGGGCAGCTTCGAATAAAAAATCGTTTAATTTTTTCAACTTTTGTATGGTACATATTTCAGGGTTCAGATTTTACTGTTTAAAAATTCAATACATATTACAGAAGTGAAGGTATTATAGGGTCCAGCAATATGTATTCATATACTATTCCTTCTAATAGCAATAGTTTCGAAATCAAAGTTGTGTCTATTATTATTATTAAACTCATTTTGATCGTCGAAAATCTGGACAATTAGAACATTTAAAGAAGGTGCTAGATATAAGTATCAATATCATACATTATGGACACTACCCCAAATGGCTTAGTTTGCAGGGAAACAATTTTTCTTCGCAAATCGTTAAGTAATTATAGTTGTAACTGCATGCCACGTTGAATACGTCAATTGACATTATAAGACGCCTAACGGTGGCCATACTCGATTTGATGATAGTTCTGAGCGATCTGGATTATATTTGAAGCATTACTATTGGTTTTCATTTAACCTCGTTGTGTTTCGTTCTAATATTCCATTCTGCTTACTAAGACCCTGTGCTTTTCTTGATCAATTTTCCTCCGATTCGTACTTAGTATTACGGTTGTGCGCATAGGTTACAGCAGTTGAACTCGGACTTTAGTGAACGTCCATGCGTGCACGCGCAGTACAAGAAGTTAGACGAGAAAATCCGACTGCCCTTTTGTCTTCAGCTATCGGTGGCCGCAGAACCAGATACTAGCCGGCCTCTAACTGTGGCCATACACTCGTGATTGCTGCGATTATAGTTACCACTATTCGATCATGAATGCTACTAACCGACCTCGGTTCGCTTCGTCGGAGCACTAATCCTTCCACTAATCGCCAGCCATCACTACCGTCCGTTTATGGACACGTCTGCTCGGCTTGCAAGGACACACAGGCACAGCCCTTATGGCCATAGGCGATCTAGTTATATGCCATCAGCAATATGTCCTCGAGAAAGGAATGAACAACTGAGACACCATCACTGGATACTGGCGCCGTCCATGGATGCCCGTGAGAAAGCTCAGGGTACTGTTAAATTAATCGTTAAAAGGCCGGATGAGACAAAGGAAACAGTTAGAAACCTAACACAATGCTGCACAGACGATTTGTGATTACCGTTAAAATAGATACTCTATCCTAATATCTTGTTGCTATTGCCACCCTTTACCCACAAAAGGCCTGATTTGCTCCTAGCCGACTGCAAAGTCGACAGCATCTGTGGAGCGTAAAAGTCACTGCGTAGCGGAACGTTAACGAAGTTGCGTCGCTAAATTTTCATTGAGGTCACAATGTGCCATTTAGCAATGCGTTTATTTGACTTGAAAATGATTATATTGCGACTATGACTGCAGAAACACCATGGTGTAGGTTCTATACACTGAATGACCTCCTAAGATGATTGGCTTACGCAACTAACGGGCCACCAATAGCTTATTCTCTATTTACGAACCTATCTGTACCTGTATCATATTAGCAGCAAGCACTTACGCTTGCCCGTACATTTAAGCAGTGCTACTCTTCAAAATTCAATCGAGTCTTAACTGGGCAATTGTACGGCAGTTATATACGAAACTTGTCTCCACCTCTCCATCTCTCAAGTCACCGTGACATTCAAACGGCTGGCCCAGATTCAAACGCCCTAGGCTACAATGTGGCATTAAGATTAGCAGGCAAAAAATATACGTTACCCACTACGCGATCGAGTTGTTTCCATCTACCTAAAGTTGACCCGAGCATACAACAACTATAAACCCTTGCAATAAACAAAAGGAAACATCAAGGCATGACAAATTACTGTCTTACGTAGGGTCAGTGTATCGTTATTACTATTGTTGTTGTTATTAATTATGTTTGAAGCAGATGCTCTGCGTTCTGAAGATTATTGAGGTACATCCTGAAGTAGAGACGTCATTGTTTAGTACAGGAAATTGTTGTGATTTCATGTCGTAGGTAAAGGTCACAGGTTGACTATGTTGGCTGATATGAATATTTAACTCGCAGATGATCATAGATCGTCTTTGACAATGAAATGATACCTCGGAATCGTTTAGTCATTTAAATAGTAGTCTACATGTAAAATTACTGATTTTACATTTTGTTTTTCTGAAAACTTCCGCCCTTATCTATAGGATAGGACCAACGATATCAAATTGTCATATAGTTCATTATAATGACGATGCGAGGAGCATGTAATCGATATCCGCTAGCTATAGGTACTCCCCGATAGTTTTGTATCGTATAAGGAGTCCACGTATCTGTTTAACGATGAACGATGTAGGCCTACAGCGCCCCTTCCCAATGAAGGTTTGTTCTGGTTAAATCCTTGGAACTGCTTCGATCAGATGTGTTACCCAACACTTTGGGATTTCGTAGGAAGCAATAGAAGTCACGTTTATTTCGAAGGCCTACCTATGGCTCACTCGCAAACGTCGCTCACTACACTTTGTCCGTGATGTCCTTTACAAAGCTTCCGCCGTTCGTGGAAAAGATCACCTCAGGTACTCTAAGCTATTGACGTACGTCAAGGTTGTTCTATTTATGCGGAGCGTTTCGGAAGCAGTGCAAACTTCATGGCTTCTATTTTGTGCACGTTTATCAAGAGTCCAGCCTTCTTCAGGCAGGACAACAGCCTCGCGAAAATTTGCCGAAAAGACATATACTCGACTCCTCATAAAATGACTAGGCGGTCGACGTAAGGCAACGTTTTACCTATTCCGTTGGCTGCTAAAAAAAGAGTGACGGCAAGTCATTCAGCGGTAAAAAGAATGACATAGGGTGACCCTATGCAATGCTAGTTTATTGGAGAAACTGCTCCATCTGGTCCTTTCCATCGTCAATACTTGCCTAGTTTTCGTATAATATCGCCCACGATAAATGCAGCATGGGATTTTGTGTTTTGCAAACTTCATTATTAAATTTTTGGGTTCGAGAAATTGTACAAAACATTTTAAAATCCAACAGTCACTGGTTTAGTCTGCGACAACCACTGTATATCTTATCAGAGACTGCGCCACATGTTCTGAAACTGAAACGTCCTCTGCGGATTCTATGTAGTTCAACCGGAACACAAACAAGCTTTTAGGGACCTCGCCAGCCGATGTATGACGAGATGAGCTAAAAGTTTATAGCAGCAGCAGCAGCAGCAGCAGCTTTTTACCCTATCGACCTTTGTGAAGATGGGTCTAACAAGTTGCCTTCTCCCTTGGGTATAACGCTCAGGAAGGCTTCACTCCAACCTGTCGGTAGGCGTCCATATCGTAAGCAAACACTAAACAGACCTATTCAACGACAAGGGACACATTTTTCAAGTGCGATTTGTCTTTCCTATTTCAGGCAGCGTAATATTTCAGACATGGAGAATTCAACTGTTAGCTTTCCATGTATCATAGACGTTATTCATGGCGTGCACCAGCACACAATGGCACGATTCGTGAAATGGTAAAGTGCTCTATAAGTTCAGCAGAATTTGAGGTATGACACTGGCCTATTTGCATGGTCCCCTTTCCGCCTGTACCATTTAGATTGTAGCTAGAGCGCAAACGAGATGCTGCTAATAGTTCAAACTGAGTATCAGCTTTGTAGAAAACTAGAGAGCGACCTCATAACGCTTAATTAGTTCCCGTATCTAGCGCAGTATATCAATGGCTAGCTTCCATTTGTATTTAACCCGGGGCATTGTCGACACGACTGCGGGTGAATTATATTGATTAAAGTTTAAATCTGCTCGTAAAAATTCGCTGTCCGGCTCTTCTGATACCAGGTACAACGTTGATGAGCTTAGCTTGATCGAATCTAGCATTTTATGTACCTCAGCATCTTATTATTTGCTGAGCTGTTTTTTCGATAAAAGCTTAACTTCACGGTGTATTACATCATTCTCGGACAAAGCCCCTCGCTTAGCAGATTATTGTTACAGCGTATCCAACTTCTCCGGATGAATATGTGTCAGGTTTTAGCGTAGGTAAGTTATTTCATTTCTTAGTATTCGTGTTCAGTTCCCTGGCAGGTGTAGTCAGTAAAAGGCACTGAATAAGCTAGTTATTTCTCTCTTGTTCTAATAAAACTTGCAAAAGCTATTCATGTAGCTCTAAGCTGTGCAAAACATAAGACCCCGAGAATAGTTTTTCTTTCTGCTCAAAAACGGGAATCCAGATTTATTTCTAATTATTTAGCTTAGTATTTTATTTCCACGGGCAAGTTTGCTTTTTGGAGACAATATTTTGGATCAGGTATATATTTTTTTTCAATACTTATTTGATCCTTCGGAGTTATTTGAAAAGCTCAAATTTTTAGGTTAATTCAATCGAAATCGCCATTTTTCTGTCGAACGTTCACTTTCAGTTAGTAGTCAAATATATATTCTATGAACGTATATGAGTAAGTAGAGAAAAATGGTTTTCTGTTTGTTGCAGGAACTGTGTTAAGTGATAGATAGACAATGATTGGTCCCGGGAAAAAACACAGATACTCGAGCTGAGTGTTAGGCTAGACTTCAGTTTTATCGCGTACCGATTAAACATTACTTTATTTCTTAGCTTTCACTGATTAATTTTGCCTTCTGCATAGATATAAATAACGATATAGCTAATTGTGAATAGCGGAACCGCTGATGGGTGGATGGACTACCCTGTCTGGAAAGAACGTTGGCGTTTTATTAAAGGAAAATAGTGAGACGGAATAGTCCTATGCTATCAATATCCCATATTTCGAGTTGACCTTCAACACTGCATTCTTTTTTTTTTTACTAATATCTTGGCACTCCCGTGAAGCACATCGTGAATCGTCTATATGAGCTGTTTGTGCTTAGGAGCAACGATGTAAGCAATAAGGTCTGCTTCATGTAGTGTTTTTTTTTTTTGTAGAAAATTCGACTCCTTTGAGAAACTTTGTCGACGATGTTCGTTGGCTAAGGGTCTTTGATTACAAAATGGCTCACAACTGATAGCGCAGTGTCCGCAGCAGGTTAACAACTTGCATGATAGGAATTTTGTATTCTAATTATTTACCGC